TTTCTTTATTTTTTTACGCTCTCTTACTTTCTTCTATATTAAGAGTTCTCCGCAATACAATAGGAAAGCATCAACGGCACAGATACTAGTTACGGAACAGCGAACAGTCACAGTCACGAGTTGCAAAGGTTCCTTTACGCAAGTGTTTCTTTCTAATTAAAGATAAACCTCCTTCAGATAGAAATAATGAAGATCATCAAGTGATGGTTTCTGCGAGAAGAGCTAAATCACCATCAAAGAAGACATCCGATGATGAACTGGAATTTGAAAAAGGAAAGGAAAATCTGCAGGTGAGCTTCAGCTATGTGTGGTCACTGCTTCGGTTAATTATTATAAGTACTCCAAATACAAGGCGATTTTGGTCAAGATTTGCCTTGAGTTCCGCAACTTGAGCCTCGTTGGCCAAAATTGTAAGATTTTGTTTTTTCTTTCTAGCTCAAGTTTGTTTCGAATGAAAAATATCCCTTATCTTACAGGTAGACGCAAAAGCTGCAAAATGCAACGGAAATACGCCTCTCACACGTCCAGTTCAAGCAGACAGAACTCTCTCAAGCATCAAGGCGACATCCACTTTGCCAATTACTGTAGTATGCATTCTATCTACTAATTTATGCACAAGTTGCAGAAGTTAATTGTTTAGAAATCTGGAACCGTTGGAATTCCGCGAGCATCTTCGCTACAAACCATAAAAGCCAAAGCAGCATTAAAGGTGAAGATTTACGTATATTTGAGTTAGCTGTCTTTTGAACTAAAACGGAACATCTTTAAATTTTAAAAAAAACTTAGAAAATGTTCTTAGGCGATGCTCAGAATAACGGTTTATTGCACATTATCATAACTTTGCATATTAGTAAGCATAAAATGTACATAAAGAAAATGTAGAGAGGTAATTTTTTGACCTAAACGAGTGAAATACCAATACCTCGTTTTTCTGCTTCCCTCGATTTCAAGTCAGTTCAAATACAGGAAGCCTCAAAGAATGCGCTCAGTGTTTGATCGTTGATAAAACTTCTACTTCTAACATTTTTCTAAGCCGTTATGATTCGTATTTTGAAAGGCTATTCTGATTCAGAGATCTGCTTATAAACGGAATTCGAAAATTCAGCAGTACTGGTTAGGACTGTATACAATACCGCTATCTTTTCCAAAAAAACGTAATTTTACGTAAAATCCGTTGCAAGCGTCGTATCCATGACTTCTTTCAAAATGATACTGTATTTGGCATATCTTGAGATTCGTTTGGACGAGCTATGTCTGATACCACTTTTCTTTTGAAAAATATCTCTTTTGAAAGAAGTTATGACAATGCGACGCTTGCGACGGATTTTTGTTTGAAATCACGTTTTTTTGCAGAAGTTGTGGGCGGTATTATAGCTCGTTAGCCTTAGTCTGTTGGTAAGCAATTACCATAACTCTGGTTTAAAACCTTACAGTATTAAAGTATCTCATACCTGCATTGCATTGAAAATCCAAGTAAGGACGATTTCAGCGTTTTTGGAGCTATTTTTGAGTTAATACAAATAGTGCTTCACGCCAGCGCTTCGGTCACCAACAAAATACTACC